ACTGGCGCTTTTGGAACTGGACAAAATTCTTTTTTTTTTTTTTTTTTTTGGTCAAAACCATTAATATTTCAAATACTATTTGCATTGTTCCCGATCTCATACATTTTTTAACGCAGGCACAAAGGAAATGGGAAAGCACACACTTATTGCAGAAGTGGATATATAATTTAATACATATTCTTATGTTTTTTATATTTTACGCAAGTTCACACGTCGTCAAAGCGCAGTGAGCGAATGTCACGGCCTCCCCTTTTGGAATAAAGGTTAAAGGAGTCAGTACTTTCATTTCCACATTGCTCAAGCTACCCGTGCARATGGGGCTTTGCATAATTCTGCAATAAAGACTAGTACTATAAAATACAAAAATTATGACCTAGGTAGATTTAAAGATAAAWTAGGAAACTGGTCTGCTCACAGCAAGAGACTCAATCATGCCAGAAGTGGGTTCAGGAATGAATGAAAACGACCAAAGGAAAGATTCCACTGTGTCTTCCTCAGCTTCTCCAGAGGATATAATTTCTTTCATTAGGAGAACACATGCCTCTGTAGCACACGATGGGAGTGCATCTATCAGGGGCTGCCTGTAGCACAAGAGAAAAAGTAAACTAAATCTAACATAATCACTATTCCCAAGAATATTCTATTCCCAATATTCCCAGGAATCACACAGCAAACATACTGAGGGCTGGGCTTCCTTCCAGCTAGTAAAAGCCCACACCATAGCTAATGCTGGATTTTACAGAAATTGCATTATCCTTTGGTTCAAGTGGCCCAAGAAACAAGTGCTTTGGCCAAAAAAGGATGAAGCACTGAGACACCCTAAATTCTTAATTTCGTATTTTTAACTTCACCAATAAAATGAAAATATTAAAACTCAGTTAACTTATTTTCATTCCCTATGCTGTTTTAGATTTAGTTTATGCCAGCATGATATACATTTCAGCCCCTAAGAGTCCCTCTTTAAATGTGAATCTTTCTCCTATACAGGTAGATGGACATAACTAGGAAGTGGTTAAGCTAAGCAAGATAAAGGTAGTTACACTAGAGATAAGTGTCTCAGTCCCAAGTTGGTCTAAAATTAAAACAGAAAGAGGCAGAGTGTCTTAGATTATTCTCTAATACTTCAGAAAAGTGCTTGTTTATGCTTTCCAGGATTCTGATCTTTCAGAGAAAAAAGTCCTACACTAGTTAACTATCCTCATGGGTATTTTTGAAAGCATCAAACCCTTGATTCAGGACTTTTTCTGTCTGCACAGAAGGACCTTGACTTGAAAAACTGCATTTCCATAATCACCATAAAGCAATTGTGCTGATTGTGCTGCTACTGAAAGACATGGTTCCACCACCTTCATACTCCCTGTCCACTATATGTCTCTTCTCCTCTATCACAAGCAAATATATGCCAGCATGAGCAAAGTTCTTCTCCAGTTTCACTCTCAATATTATGTCCCACGAGCACTATCACAAATACAGAYGGTGGAAGAGATGAACCATCAGGAGCAGCACAAAACTAGCAGTGGGAACAACGAGCAAGGAACTGGCAGGAAACAGGCACAGCAGGACTGATGGTCAACAGGACCACCTTTCCCAGTAGCCACTACCTTTTAGATCAGCTTAGTTGAATCAGCAGCACAAAAATCCACCTTATAAAGGTGCAACCTTAGTCCTAAAGCTACCAATTCAGACAGGCTTTTTCACGTCAAATTGCAATAGATACTTAAAAACAGCAACCCTGATCCACATCTAAGCCATGACCCAAGTTTCCTGTTAACACTGTTCCTGAAATGGGGAATCTCTCTGTGGAAAAAGGCATGAGACAGGAAAGCCAATTCTGCGTACAATGTTAACTCAGTAAGAAGAGAGGATCATCCTTTCATCATGTAAACAAAATGTGCAATATACCATCTTACTTTAAAGTGTTCCAGCTCTAAATACACCTTAAAATACAACAACAGAACAGCACTTTTGTTTACTTAAAATATTAATCTATACAAAATACCTTAAAACGTTGCTTCCTTTATTTCCTTTATTTATTTTTGTTTTGTAAGTATAGCTGCCAAAGGCCTTACCAGTTATCTCTGCATTTAAACGAAGATCTTTGCCATAGTGCTGTTAAGGCCTCAAGAGAAAGGTGCCGAAGCTCAAACACCAGCGTCACGAAGAGGTCCGCAGTCTGCAAAAGAGCACAACGTGAAAAGCAGGCGTGCAACTGGGCACAAAAGCAGCTTTAGAGAATAAAACACAACAAGGATTGACATTACAACATAAAGTAACATAACCAAAGTTTCCATAAAGAAATAAGTATTTCTTCATAATAAGCAAATAGACTGCTTAAATTTCTTTTAATAAGCAAATAGATTTATTTCTTTATATTCAAGCTGCCTCTTGCTCTCGTCAAGTAAAACAGACCAGGCTGAATAACTAACTGAGGTGACTATTTCCACTTAAGCCAAATAATTCTGTTTTAATAATTTATATGCATGAGCATGGTGGAAAGCACTTAGTGTAATTTGGAATTAACCCATATTTTTAGTTAAATAAATGAAGTAGCTACCTGTACTATACGTTAGAGTGCAAAACAAAAACTGAATGTTCACTGAATGTTATCAAATACAGAAACTTTTCTTTTGTTATAAAGCAAAAGCTTGTCAATTCATTCCTGAATCAAGTGTATTACATTTGTCCTCTGCTGAGAGGAGGAAAAGATTTTTCAATTTTTTTCATTTAGTAGAAGCCTTTCTTAAGAATAGTATTTTAAAAGGTTAAATATAGATATGTTCTTTGTAGACTTTATCCATAGTTGCAGAAGTTAAGATAGCTAACATTASTTGAAAAGTTATCAGAAAGTTAAATACAGTAGCCTGTATGTTGATTTATAATGTACAAGACAATCATGTCCTGTTTCATACAGATTCCTTTCAATTATTTACTTCAGATGTGAAATGCTTACAAGTAAGACTACTTACTCTGGTTCTAAAGAAAATATTTTTCACCACAGAAAGAACATGCAAACAAAGTCTAATTCCACTGACTCGCAGTGCCCAGGGCYGGGGACAGACCCAACTGCCCTTCCTGACCTTCCCTCCCTGCACTGCTTCCAATAGCAATAAGAGTCAGAATACTCCAGTGCCAACACGTTAATTTAAGATTGCCACAATGCTTTCCCTAAAAATAAGTCATTTTCCAGTAAGAAAATGGCCTAATCTCTTACTATCTTCAGTTCACTAGGCCATGAGAATCATTTTTCAGATCCAGCATAAACACTGCTTACGTTTTTGTTCTTTTTGAACTTTCATTTAGCAATGCAATAAACTAATATACTAATTTCACCAAAATGAAATTTATTCTCACACATGAAGCCCTAGTAAACAGGGTTTAACCTAGATAACATTTATAGCTTCATAGCTAAATTCAACCTTGATAAACACGTATTCCAGCAYTAGCTTTAGGGTTTAAAAATAAAGTAATATATGCAAACCTGGATCCCATTCCCATTTATCCCCATTTGAATAAAATGTAAGGAAGACTGGCTTTTATTCTAGATAGAAGCCTGTTCTTCTTTTTATCTGTAGAGTTATTCTAATTCTATGRAAAAAAAATCCTCTGAAAGCATAAACATGGTATACTTTAAATTTTAAGGTGTAAGAGTAAAACTTTCCCCCMAAAAATATTTTTATTTATGATTTATACAAGCTTTCAAAGCTTGCCACCTTTTTTGCTGCTAAGTATGAGCCCATGTAATCACAAGTTGCTCTAAAAATGTGTTCAATGAACACATTTATGTTTGATTACTAATGTACTTTATGAAAGACTGTATGAGATGTCACCTCCCATAAGTTGACGAAAACTCTTTGGAGCTGAAAAATTCTCTTCCATGCTAATTGTAGTTTTCAGTTGATTTTCTTTTCAGCTATACATATAATAAAGAAATATCAGTTTCTTTCAGTTTCTTTCTTATTCTAGCATCTTCTCAAGGCTGGAAGAAGGTGAACTGCGAAGATTTCAGATCGTGGCCCAGGAAGGCCAGGGAACATCTTAGCCAAAAAGCAAGCGGTGAGAAGAGACAATGCCCCAAAGATCACCTCATTTGGGTCAGACTGGAGTACAAGGACAGAGGGAGCCTGACACACACACTGCTCCTGCTTCATGAACAGCCACATTCACCGACCCATCAATCCAGCACCAAAACCCAGCCCAAAGTTCCAAGCTGTGTGTCCTTCAAACCCATCTCCATCGCGGGTCCCTCCTCCCCATGCCCTGCGCCACTGTCAGTATGCAGCTTGTTCACTTAATGGTCCATTAGCTCATCTACGTCCACATTGAAATTCAATCCTGTCTCCTAACAGCATTAGAAAACTGAACAACAACTTTGCTTCCTTGGAAATGACACAGTCTCCTCCCTRCCCTTTCTCCACTGTTAGCTCTTTTCACCAGAGCTGGGGATTTTCCCTTCCATTTATTCTTATTTTTGTGTCCCGAATAAAATGCATAATCTTGCTGCATTCAGAGCCAGACAAAAAGGGGACAAACAAGCTATAAATGCCTAATAGCAGGGCTGTCTCCCCGGCGACATGGTGGGCATTCCCATCGCTCCTGCCCAAAGGACACACTATTGGGTGGAATGAAGGATAATACAGATCCTCTTTGAAATATCCTGTCACACAGAAGGAACACCCTGGGACAGTTCCCCACCGTCTGAATGCTGGGACAGGCATATGATGAATTATTCACCTCTTCTGTAGGCAGTGGCACAGACAGGAGCTACTTGTGTAATCTGAGCAACCTACAAAGCAAAATTCCCACACAGGAAGGCAGAAGGCCTCTCTGGAGACAGAAGCAACGTCCCATGACTTAGCGGGGAAGAGAGAAACAAGCCCCATTCCTTCCAAGGCACTGAATTATGCGTGCTCAAAATGTGCAAGATTTAGGGAAAGTTTCTCAGGTTGACTGCATTTTTTTGCTACATTTTCCAAATCTTATTTCGCCTATACAGTCTTTTCCTAAACACCATTACATACTGCTGCTACAATGGCAGCCACCTAGAATTAAGCATTATAATATCCAAAGAGGCTACTCTTAATCTATYTTAGCAAGAGTTATTTTTATGAATCTGCTAGCTCCCTATTGCCTCAATGTAAGTATAGAAAGGAAGCACATAATAGAATAASGTTAACAGAAAGCAGCCAGGCAGGCAGAGAGTACTTGATTTATTTTTCAAATTATTTTAAAACACTTGGATTAACCCAGTCAATTAACAAGGGACCTCTATAACTTTGGGGCTGTAACATGCATCTCCCTTCTGTTACTGTATTCTTTTTACTTTTGTTATTCCCTCTTTCTCTTGCTGTACCAGATTGGAGGGTCACCAGAGAAATGATTTTTCTTTTTAAGTAGTATGAAAGTTATATATTGGATCATGAGATTCAAGAAGGAAAGCCTAGATCTCCAATATCTCAGGTGAGAGGCCATTTCTTCTCTAGAGACTCTGTTGCTATGGGGTACAGAATGATAGTGAAGAGATAACAGTAGTAGTATCACAGTGATTTTAAACATGTCCAGCTGCAAGTCACCCTATCTGTGCAGGATAACGCTCAGAGCATAAAGGACAGTAGTAAGAAACCAACAGTGTATGAAAAAGCTTACCTCCAATCTCACASTGGGTGCTAAGCAGAGCTTCTGCACTAATTCAGTCACTTCCTCTASAGTGAATTGTCTCTCAGTTTGTTCCTTTTCATATAGCATGTTRGTCACATACAGATCCTTGGAGTCCACTGAAAAACACACGGGGAGAAATCACATGTCTGGTTGCTGGCTATTTGTTGTGGCTAACATTAAATGACAGGGTAAAGTTATTCTCTCAGGATTTATTTGCACATGTAGGAACCACTCTAGTATCAGTAAAAACAGGGAATGAATAAACACGCTTGCATTCTGGTTGAATTCGAATGCTGCCTGAAGGCAAATGTGGCAGGGAGACAAAGAAAAAGAGAAGAAGCAGTAAAAGAAACAAAACGAAGATGTACTTGAAAGAAAAAAAAAAAAATCACGGTTTACTCTAATACATCTGTAACAATGGTCCTACCACTATATACTCATCACCCTTCCAGTTTAATAACGCATCCAGTTTCTAGCTCAGTTTTTAAACTTTTGCTCAAGCAAGCTTCCCATTAGCATCTGTAAATTTCTTCTCCTACATGAGGGACAGCATGAAAATGGAATAAAAAATGATACAGTTCTCAGACACGGCATATTCCTTTGAATTCTATTAGTACTTACAATTATTTGGGCCCCACTTGTACTGTGTCTCTGCTTGCACCTGAATGAGTTTCAGCGATGACTGTGTCTGTGTCTTTGCTCCGCGTCCCTTCTCAGAGAACGGTGCAAGGAGGTTGGATTCAGTGCATTCCGCCTCTGCCAGGATTCCATCCTTAAATCTCTGAGCGCATTCCAGGTTGGATGACAGGATCTGCTGCTCAGACTGAGAAGAACAAGTATTTCAGGGAATGCCTTAATATCTACGTCAATCTACTTTTCCAACTTCCTGGAGAATTCCAGTTATCTGACATAGGGAATTCTCCTGCCCAGACCTTTAATAGCCCCTGGAGCAGGAACTTCAGTTGATAACAGTTGAATGGTCTCAAATGATATCAGTCTGCAAAGCTCTAGTGTTAGGCACCTCTTTTTGGTCAGCGGAAAGCCAAGAACACAGATGACTGCATTTGAGAGAGTGGAAAACAGTAAGGTTTCTTTTTAAGAGACGTTTATGTCTTTCCAAAGTTTTTTTTTTTTAAAATAACATACTTTATACAAGATTTTCTCTCAACCATGTCTCTCTAATCCCCCACTTCACCCTCTAATTTCACTTTTAGCTTATCACTATAAGCATAATATATTTTAACAGCAGAGTTTAATCCAGGTATCCAAGTGTTCCATTTATACTTTAGTTCATGAACTACTATGCAAATTTACATTAAAAAAAGTGTTGGATGTCTAACAGGCATTATATAGACAATAACATTCATCATTTCTTTGCTAAAGCTTCAAGTTTGGGCAGACAAACACAGGAGAACGTATGACTATATTATCAAGACATTCCCACCAGCAAAATCATGTCAGAAATTGCCAACCTGCTACTTCAAGCCTTCAGAGAAATAAAGAGGACCTGTGCAGGAATCAGCATCATTCCCCAACACTTACTGGCATACGAGGAAGAGGAACAGACTGCACGGAAGCAAAGCCAGAATACCGATGAGAGCAGAGGTTTAAGTCCTTTGTCTTGACAAGGGCAGGACCTTTGCTCTGATACTTGGTTGGGCATATTCCCAGAACATCCATCTGGTAACAAACACACAATGTTGAATCATACAAGACCACACGCATTATGGACTATTACAGTGACTTCAAGACATTGCTCTGGTGTAGTGACTGGCACAGAGAASTAAGTTCTCTCCAGCTAGTAACTGGCTTTGACACAAACTAAGGCAAAGGGTCTTGGTCAGATTTTAGAAGATGAAGAGTTTGCTTGCTTGTCTTTTAAAATTCATTCTATTCCAAGACAGATCATTTATAAATATAGGCTTTTTCATTTAATATTTTCCATGTTTCCAGGGAAGCCTTAATTCAGAAAAGAATTTATATTCAGGAAAAAAAAAAAGGTAATTACATATGGATGTCCTAAATGCTATTGAGAAATATCTATTTAAACACTATTATGTAGCAGAAGCACGGGAATGAGGGTGTGCACTCTGTCAATGGTCACTGTTCTTCAACAGCAGAGCCATTGAGATATCTCAGCTACACTCATACAAACATGGACTACAGTGGGGTCCTTTTTTCAGTGTAACACAGTAGAACTGGAGCTAAAGTTTTCAAAACAAAGTTTCAAGAGCTTTGAAAAGCCTGATTTTAAACTTCCTGGAAACAATGAGAAAACTTCAGCGGCAAAGCAATCAGCCCCTTTACAAATACTGTTCCTTCCCTGGAGCACAGGTGAAGCTGTGGTGTTAAGAAAACCGCAGTACTCAGCTCTCTCACAGGGAACAAACTCCCAACAAGAATGCAAATTACAGGTGAATTAATAACTTATGAAAAAAATGCAACCAGAGCATCATAGGCTGCTGACTTGTCACCAAGTGGCTATAATTTTCARTTACTTAAACAGGGTAGATTTAAAATACACAAGGGCTAACAGGAGCCCCAGAGCATGATGCTACTGGCATTCTCACCTCTTCAATGACTCCAGCAGCAGCAGGGTCTTGTGATGTCTGCAGGACACTCAGAATGCCTCGTTTGACGTTCAGCGCCCAAGTCTGTTCACTCCTTACAGGACAGAGCTGAAGAACTTTCCCATCATGGAGAGAAAAGTAAAGAGGATGGTCTTCTAGTATTTCTCTGCAATAAAACAGTTTATTATTTCTTGCTTCAAACAGTGACTGCAAGTCAGGTTATCTAAGTCATAAGTAWTGTCATAAATTTTTTGAACAGTTCCTCCCCACAATGGATCTGTTTTATTTTGTTTCTGTTCTTTTTAACAAGACTCTACTCTTCACTAATTCATCCTGACTCTAAAGTCTCCTTAAAAAAATGTAGGTGATCACAGCAGTCTCTTCATCCTTGTACCACTGAACAAGGCCAACTCCTCAGAAAATCTTTACAACTGATTATATRTTAAACTAGAATCTTTGCCATTAAGAAAGCAACTCCATTTAAAAAGGAGGTCTTCCAATTTAGGGTGTTTTAAGCCTTGATAAGCATATCTYGGTTACATATTTCACTTCTGTACCTCTTCCGCCTTGGTTATAAATAAACACAACTGTTTCCCAATCAATCCATGGTTAATATCTTCCTTCTTTGCTGGTATATACACTTGCCTCCAACCCAGATGTTTTCCCCCCCATCTCTTTTGTCAGTTTACTCTCTGCCCCAGTAGTTTTGTCTATTCAGAGTACAGACAGCTCTACTTTTGCAAGAAACCACATTTTACACTGATTTTCACTGTTAGTGTTACGCATTCTGATCTTAAACAATTCTTCTAAAACGGGGAAAGAAACCACCCAGATGAGGGAAAAGAATTTTGCAACAGCCCAACAGTCAGTTCCAATAAACGGAGATACACAAGTCATCTGCATATGAACTGTGCAACTATTTGGTAAATCAATGAGGGGGATAAAAGCAGTGTAACAGGGAAAAAAAAAAAAAAAAAAAGATTTTTAATGCACCAACACCAGGAAGAAGTCTTTGCTGAAGAGGAGACCGCACACTGGATGAGGGTCTCTATACTCCCAGGCAACTGGGGGCATTTCTCTTGCTATAAGTGGAAATTACATGCATGTTCACGGGACAAGCTAGACCACAGCATATTCACAATAGGCTGAGGCAAATGCTAATAAGGTTTGCTGGTCTGAATAATCATTTTCAATAGTCAAGCTTCACTGAATGCTTTCTTTGATATCTCTCTTTTTGGCTTCTCTACAGAGAACAAGGCCTCACTGCTCTTACTTCCACAAAAATCCTGCAAAAAGCTTTGCAGAGGAAGATGTGTCTGTAACTTCAAATGATCTGAACTCTGACAGCACCACTCATATTGCAGAACACAAAGCTTTTCTGGACAGATAATAAAAACCAATGCATTTACGTCAAACTTGCTTTTTTTCACCCTCTGATTTGAGTCAATTACCTCATTTCTCATTGTTGTTTAAAGGCTGAGAATCTAAGCATCAGAACAAAGAGGAGATTACTAGGTTCAGCTTAACCAGACAACAGAACTGCTTTTTCTGATGACACAAGAAGCATCTGATCTCTGGGAAAATACGAGACCTCCATGGCCTGAGGGGATCTTTTTGTACAGGAATCCTCACAAGTGTCTATACCTTTGCAAGGCTACACACTGACTGTAGACTGCAAGGCTACCTGCTGGAGGCTACACACTGATTGCTGTGAATAAGCTAAAACGAAAAACAAAAACATGAAAGAAGGAAGTTGGCATTAGGAAAATAAGTGCAACTTGAACAGCTGGGAAGAAAAAAGAACTTTCTGTATTTTGAGGAATAAAATGCCCCTCAAAACAAAAACTTTTGAAATGGGCTTTCAAAACTCAAGGGTCTGTAAAAGGAACGATTGCAACTCAGATAACTAGGGAACTACTTAAGACCACTTAATTTGGTCTTGGTAATTTGTACTCTTAATTATTTAAATTGTCTGTTCTCTGATTGTTTCTCATGTACATGGGATTTTCAGGGATGAAAATTAGATTCAAAAAAAAAAATCTGAACAAATGTCCCCATTTAGTCTTGATCCTCGCTTTTTCAACCATTAACTAAAATCTAAATAGAGTACAAAACACATCATAAATGGTAGTTAGGTGCTGCTAAACCAAATAGTATACATAAAAAAAAAAAAAAAATATCTAAGAACTAAATCAGATCAGAAGWTCTTTTACCTTAGACTGTCCATTTCCTTCAAAACCTCCTCCCTGGAAGCAAAGATTTTCTTGATTTGTACATCTTGCACCTAAAAACAAAGATTATAAAGCAACAAATATCACTTTCAAGAGGAACTTGTGGATGCTGTCACAGATGGACATGTAAACAGAAGTGGACTATGAAAAAAGCCTCAAGTGTAAAATCACTACAGCCCCAGAGGCCCAAATCCCAGCTACCAAAGGTGCAGGATGCATATTTGAGGTATTTTCATATAATTTCTTCTACAAAAAGCTTCACAGATTTTTAAATGCATTTTATACAGTGTTATGACATCCTTTTTCTTCCAAGTCACAGTTACCTATTATRGGGGAAAGTAAAAGCCTGGCTGAACAAAAGTCCCTTCTACAGAGGTGAAAAAGCTCAGGCCGACTATCAAGTTGGTAGAATTTTGAGACTAAACCTAGTACAAGTTTGGTATACGTCTTATAGCTTATTCTTACTAAATTCAGAGGAGAAAATGTAATTTCTTCTCCTTTTATATACACACATTTTTTATACATATATATATGCATACATATATATTTATTAAAGACAAGCATCCAACTRTGTATTTTTTGTCCATTTTAGGAGGCCTCAAAGTAACACAAAATACTAGCAGGCTGGCCACTGATACTGCAAGGAAGCAGAAACAGTGATTCGATCTGAAAGTGGTTCACCCAAATTCTCACCTTTCATGTAAAAATCGTGGGACTGCTGGCCAGTTAAATCTATCTACACAGCTATTTTACACAGGTAACTATCTTGTTTTATTGGCCTCCTATATGCATTAATACATGTACACACACCTTTTACAGCTCTGCTGTACAGAACCTATGAATGAGGCCCTCTGTTCACCTGAAGGAAAATTAAGGCAGATAAAACTTATTTTATAGTCTCCCTGCTCAGCACTGTAGAGCTCAAACTTGCCCCACAGCAGGCTCACTCCAGAAAAAGAAATGTCTGCAAAACTTCTCTGTTGCTCTGTCAATSGAACAGATTTCCCATCAAGATCAATGGAATATTACCAAACTGAATTTTATACTACGTAAGGCATAGCACCAATCCAATAGATCCAAGAAGCTATTCAATTTCTCTTTGAAAGCTTTGATATTTTTAATTTACTGCTACACATAGGAAAATTCAATAAAATTATTTTGATGCAAAACTATTTGCATCACCTGTTTCAGCTCTACACAAGACAAAACAGTCAATCAGCTGTTGCATTTAGGAAAAAGAAATCATCTGTGTTATCCACCCTTTAAATTGGCTAATATTTATACTTAATATGAAGCTCCATAGCATCAAAGCAATCCTGCAACTCTAAAAATGTCTTCAAGAATTGGTTTTTAAATACAAGAAACCCAAGTATTTTAAACGTATGAGTGATTCTAAAGACWGGCAGAGCTCCATGCCAGCTCCTTCCAGCTGCTCTCATGTTATGGCAATACTCACTTTCAAAACCAKGTGGCACCTCCCCAGTGTCTCGATGGTCACTGTGCTCTCCAGAGACAGACCACTACTGTTGTAAGTGCTTCCCGGGAGGAAAGTGGTGGTGACTGTTGAATACCTGTAGCTGTATCTGGTTCCTTTGGGAAGGTGCAACGTGCTCTGTCCTAGCAAACAAACAAAAAATTTTTGTAGTCTATTCTATAGCCTAAGGTACACACTGTGCCTCAACACAATCTAACCAAACCTTTCCAGGTCAACCCCTATCCAATRTTTCTATCTGTTTCTCCCTTTAAAAAAAGAGAAGTTTTGAGACGGTCCACAGAAGGAAAAGCCTGTTTCAGTGAGGGAGGAGCTGACGCTGAATACTGGATGAAAGGCATTTACACAGACTGTCTTTTGCCCAGTATTAGTTTGATACTCATTGAGCTTTAATCTTTATGTGTTATAAATGTTCACAGAATGTGAACTTGAGGCACGTCAAAATGAATGCATATCATTCCACAAAAAGTTAAAACCAGCTCGGACATAAAGYAATATTCTCCTAGTGACACAATAACCTTGTTGGAAGGGGTTCCCTTATCACACATAAGGCCTGAATACCATCTCGTTTGACTCACCTCCACACTCTGCAAAACAGGGAGCTCCATGCCTTAAACTTCCCAGGGATCCTGCAACAACAGGTAAGATTACATCAAAAAGTCGTGTGCAGCTCTAATGACAGACACTGCAGCATTTCAATTACAGTATACATATTATGAAATATTAAAAAAGCAATATATGTATGTCCTAGGGCAGGCATGTATAGTTATCATGAGGGTTAAAATGTCAGAGAAAGTCACAGGATCACATCCCACAGCATGATGTTCACACTTGCCTCTGCATTTGCTACAAATGATTCTCATCTAGTTTGTATTACTATTTGAGTAATCAATCCCAAATTACTATGAGACACCATCTGCCCTAACATGACATGCTCACCATCTCAAGAGAAAAGCTCTGGGATTCCTGTCAGTGACAGTGCTCAGAGCTGGGTCCCTTTATAGCTCATTTGGGAGGGAACAGAAGGACACATAAGGCTCAAGGTTGTTGTTTCAGTCAATATGCAGTGATTTGTATTTTTATGTAGATACAGATCTATCATTTCATTTTATGTATTCTGCCCTAAAGACATGAAAAGCTCACAGAAAACAATAACTAGGATACTTCCCATCATTCATATAATTCTCCTTTATAAAAGAGAAGAACTATTAGAGCATAAGAGAATTTAAAAATATCAAATACTTTTATAAACTCTATCAAGACTCTCTGAACATCCCAGTAATCTCATGAATCCACAGGATTAAGTAAACTTCCTAATTTTTATGATACTGTTTTCCAGTTTTCATTCATCTCACATCTCTCCTAACCAAAAAGAGAACTGTAATTAAGTTTTCTGATTGTATCTAAGTTATGAAAAGAACAAATACAGACAGGAGAAACCAGCAGTGAATATATTTCTTGTGATTAATGCACAAGAACATTCAGGAGGAGTATCCCATAGTAACAAAGTCCTACTTCCATTGATAAAGAAATAAACAGCAAAGACATAAAGCAAAGGCAGGGAAGAAAGAGTTCCATTGAAGCAGCCTCCATTCTTTATTTTCATATTCTCTTTCTAAAATCTTTGCAGCATTATTCTTCCTTATAATCTAATTCCATAGCTTCCAAAGAGAAATGGTAGAAATAAACASAAAATTTTTAGGTATTCTCTTTATACGGAAAGATCTTAGAGACAAATATTTAGGAATTAAACATTATTTGTTTAACTGATAGGTGAACACACAAAAGGTCAAGCGCAATTCTACCCTCCTCCCTTAGCTATTCAATGAGCTACTCCAGGCTGAAAACAAAGCCCAGCCTAAAAATATCCATGAGTTTTTCTACTAAGCTCACTGGGACTGGACTTTGCTCTCATTGCCTTTCATGCCTGTAGCACACAGAGCATGTACATAAATGAAGGACATCCTTTTGCTCATCTATAGAGTATGGAAATATAACAACATGGATTATTAAAGAAAAGGAAAGAAATTAAGGCCCTCACTACTCTTACCCTGAATATTCTCATCAGTATTTAAACTAAGCAAGGTTTTGCTTTATGCAACTTGAATGATGCCTACTTAAATAGGGATTCTTAATGAAAAATGCAAAAACAAAACAAACAAAAAAAAAAGAACAAAAAAAAAAAAAAAAAAGCCAAAGAAAGCATAAGCTTTACTGCTGAAGGAAANAAAAAAAAAAAAAAAAAAAAAAAAAAAAAAAAAAAAAAAAAAAAAAAAAAAAAAAAAAAAAAAAAAAGCCAAAGAAAGCATAAGCTTTACTGCTGAAGGAAATCTCTTAGAGCACCAGCAGACTGAGAAACAAATCCTGGCAGAATTCTACTCATCTAATTATTTCAAGCACTACTAGATGATGACAAAACATACAAGCACTTGACCTGGAATTAAAAAATAGCAGTCACATCTAAGTTAGGAGGAGAACAAATAGAGACAGGGCAACCACTTTCACAGAGAGGCTGCAGTGAAATCTAAGGGTCCCTAACTTCTGTGCAATGACAGCTATGGCCTGTACAAGCACGATACATGCGCACTCGAGAGGCGAGCCTGGTACAAAGCAGATGTCCACACATCAAAACCACACATGGAAGTTCAGATCGACTTTAAAAGAAGGTGGAAAAAAATGTTGTCTTCAAGCAAATTTGATCCTACTGCTAGCAGACATCTACAAAACCAGACAATTTTCTAGTAAGCTGAATCCAGATCATGTAATATAACAAAATTACTAGTGGGTTATTAATTTTTTATGAATACACCTATCTAAACACAAAAGCAGCTTAGTAGTAACTCCAAAACTCCAAATGTACCACAGTTGAACAACTCAAATCAAGTTGACTCAAGAACTCAAAATCTCCTTGGAAAAAAAAATAAAAATAATAATAATAATAAAAAAAACATTCTGAAGTATCTAGTGGATGAGGGAAGCAAAGGGCTATCTACCTGCCCCTTTTTCTTTAAAGCAATGGAAAAAGCCAGCAAGTTAATGGCCTTCACATACAAGGAACCAGTAAAAACACTATTCAAAAACTGTGAAATAAATATGGTAAATAAACTTTGAAAAAATCATTTCTATTATATTATCAGATTGTTAAGATGTTCAGGTTGTTGTCACAACCAAGAGCACTCTCAGCTCCTGCATCCATCCTGCACCTGAATGCCATCACCAGGATTAGCACCTACCCTATGCCAGGCCGAGCACTTCCGACAATCAGCACTTTCTAAAATGCCGACATTTAGAGTTTCTGCTGTTTGCTTTGCTATTTTAAGCTTTAAATTTTCTTCTGTCATTTACTTCTGTTTTACAGGCAGCATGCGTGTGATCTCTGTTCAAATGAGAAGAGCACCATTTTCATCACCTTCTCGCTCTTTCAAGAATCCTTCACGTCCCAATGCCTGAAAGCACAATTTCAGGACGCCGGACTGCCACAAATATTTTACATGTCCATTTCAAGTGAGAAAAGGATTTAACTGGCCCAGTCTCACTCTTTCCACTGTTCCCCAGTGATGTGTTTAAATGAGTGCAGTAAATAGCACAGGTTGCCTTCCCACCTGCCCCGAGAGCTCAGTACAGCAAACTGCTATGCTGTGCTGAAAATCAAGGCAATCCTGCAAAAATAATTCCTGCAGATCTACAAGCTGTAACATAAATTATAATAATCTCAAATGTTTTACTAGAGAGATCATTCTTATGCAGAAATATTTTACATTAAGAGACTGGCACCTTAGCAGAGGAAAAAGTTACTTACTCCCTGAAGCTCCTGCCACAAGGGCACAGAGTAACAGGACCGAGTGCAGCCCCATGTCCATAAAAATCACCTCCTCRGGCCAGAAGTTAACAGAATCACATYTGTTCTCTTCTCCAGGGCATGTCTGAGCACAGCAGGGAAGGAAAATGTCTTTCCCAAAGCAGAAGGTTCCTATTTAAACCCCTCTCACAGCCAGGGGAGGGGCTGCGCAGGGGAGCCCAGGGAGGGGGGATTCAAGGCTTTAAGGAGGGGGAGAGGCAGATGACAGAAACATTCCACCAAGTTGCCTTTTATTCAGCCTTGCTGCCCTCACAAAGAAAGAAAGAGCGAGCGAGAAAGTGTGTGCATTATTAACCTGTTGGAAATCAACCAAAATTTCAGGGAAAAATCCTGGAGTGCTGCAAAATGA